AATAAATATATACATTTAAAATAACCATAGCATAAAAAGATCAGATAAAATACATCAATAAGCACGGATCAACAAATTGGATCAAATACAATGCTTGAAGAGTCTCAATAAATCAAACCAATTTAACAGGCCAAAAGCTGGTTTAAATAATGAACCTACTTGCCTGCTAGTAGGTCAGAAGAGAAGGGACTAGACATAGATAAGCCTCCATGATCAAAGGTTTCTAGCCACAGGAATCCCTCCTCCCCAAGTTCCTACCAAACATACTTCAGAAGGGCTGCTTTGTGGCAGCGAAATGGGCAGGCAATGTGTATGTGCGTGTGTCTTGTGGGACGAGGATCTTAATAACTGGCCAGACTTATGTGAGAGAGTATCTTGGACAGCCATCTGAGTGGGATGCTGTAAATTGGTATTCTGCAACAGCAGGGGGTTGGACCCAATGGCCCCTTCCAACTCTAGTATTCGATGATTCCATGATATCAGAAAACCTGATCCCAAGTTACTTATGACTTTGTAGATTATAACCTTGCACCAGAAACAGCTAGATAGACAGCGCCTCTATTGTAACACTGGAAGTACAACACTGATATCTCTCTTTAGCCACTTGCCTTACTGTAGCATTCTGAATGTGTTGAAGATTGAAGTTTTATGTCCAATTTACAGACTCTGACCTTGTATGGTCTGTGTGTATGCAAGAGGTACATACATGCTTTGTGTAAAGTTTGTATAGCTGTTCACTTTGCAATTAATATAATTTTGGATCATGGCTAGGTAACTGAATAGTATTGTCTGGAAAAAACATTTTAGAGGCCCCTTTAGGGCCTCTAAAATGAGGTTAATCAGCTGGTGAACCAAGGCTGGATCTATTGCCTTTTCAGTGGCTCTCTACTAACTTACCATTTTTTTAGTGGGTAGAAAACTTTCTCTCCCTTTCACTTGTAACAATTCTTACTTAGTTTTTGTGTATAAGTCCTGAGCATTTGTTTGTAACTGAAGGCTTTTCTGCTAGATGGTGGTCATCTTTATTTTAGAGCATGGGTCCTCAAACTACGGCCCGCGGGCTGGATCCAGCCCACCATGGCCATTTATCTGGCCTGCCATAGCTTGCCACGCATGCCTGGCGAGGTGCTGGCTTGCTCGCAAGGAGATCGTTTTGTTTGAGCTTCACCAATTCCTCTATTAGGTTAGATTGTTCCTGCTTTCTCATTTTATTTATTTTTGCTGAGTATGTTATTATCAGACCTCTAACATAGGCTTTAGCTGTATCCCAATCATTTTGCAAAGAGGTTTCTTCAGCTTTATTGACTTGGAAAAAAAATTCCATTTCCTTATTTATTTCTTCTTTAAACTTTTTATCTTTTAATAGAGATTTGTTAAATACCCATCTAGGTGTTTTTGTTGTCCCTTTCAGTGTCATGGTTACAGGATTATGATCTGCCCAGACATTTGTATCTATTTCTGCTTCTAACAAATCTGGAACTAAGTCTGGGGTTAGCCAAATCATATCAATTCTAGACCACAACCTATGTCTATTTGAGTAAAAAGTATACTTAGCGGAAGTTGAATTTTTGTATCTTCAGGCATTTGTCAATCTAAATTCTTCAAACATATTAAAACAGGACTTTGGGAGTATCCTCTTACCTTTCTTCTCCTTAGTCTCACTCTTATGGTCTATTTTTTTAAATCTATGATTGCGTTGAAATCTCCCATTAAACACAAAGTTTGATAATCCATTTGCAAAAGTAGAGTATGTAGTTTTTGATAGAACGCTTCCTGATGATCATTTGGAGTATAAATCTCCACCAAAAGCACCTTTTTGAGTTTCATTGTGACTTCAACCAACAGGATTCCACCATCTTCATCTGCTAAAATATATTTGGGGTCTAATTTTTGCTTGATGTATAATGCTAAATTCTTTTGATGAGCAGAAGATATAAATAACTTTTCGAGTTTTGGACATTCCAGAAGCTTACTATGTTGTTTCTTAATGTGTGTTTCTTGTAGACAAATTATGTATATCTAGCTTCAATTTTTGAAGTTGAGAGAAAGTCCTTCTCCTCTTAGAGGGTGTGTTTAGTCCATTTACATTCAAAGGGAATAGTTCGGTTCTTCCTTCCATTTTAAAAGCCATATTTATAGAATATATATTTATCTATTTATGCTTAGCCTTCACGCTTCTACCTTTTCTCTTTTCTTTTGGTTCTGGTGTCTGTTCATCTTCTTGTTGATCTGTAGTCACTATTTTTCCCTCTGGTAAGAAATAAATATTTCTTTTGTCCTTCTCTGATCCTCCGTGGTATTTGTTTCAGAACAGTCACCTCATGTTGCTCATCGATTCTTAAGGATTTATCATGTACAACCCTCAAAATATTATCTCTTACGGATCTTCTTGCAAATTTAACATGAACTGCCCTTGGCAATTTGTGTCTTCTAGCATAGCTTGAATTAACTCTATAAACCAGGTTAATCTCTCTATCCATCACTTCATTTTCCAAGTACAGAGTGTCTGCCAGCATAGTGTTCATTAATTCCCTTAGGTTTTCATTTTTTCCCTCCGGTATGTTCTGAAATCTTAGATAATTAGATGCCTTCTCCATCTCTAGTATAGCAACCAAATCCCATAATGACTTATTTGTTTGTGTTAATAATTGTATTTCTTTGTCTGTCTCTCCAGACTTTTTGAAAAGATCTTCAGTTTTCTTATGGACATCTTGGATCTTTTGTATGTTTTGTTCTGAGTCGAACATCTGTCAATTGGTTACATACATCCCTGACATAGCTGTCCAATTTATCCAGTTTACCCATTCTTTCTCTTTGTTCCACAGCCAAATTCCTTTGTTCTGATGTCAGTTTTTGCATAGAATTTGCATAGCATAGATTGCATAGATGTTAGGGATGCTTGTATTGCCAAAATTGTCATTTGTAAGTCTTTTTGGTATTTTTCCACATCTGCAGTTTTAGATTGGTGAATTGGGCTTTGTGTAGCAGACGCAGGTGCTGAAGAAGATGGGTGTGTTTTTTTCAAAGTGATAATAATTTTACTGAATGGCTATGAGATGGCAGCAAAAAGTCCTCCAGAAAGAGAAAGAAAAAAAGAAAAAAAGGTTTTTGGCATGCAGTATATCTGTAAAAGGGACTGCAGGTGGCGCAGTGGTTTAAACCACTGTGCTGCTGGGCTGGTTGATCGAAAGTTCGCCGGTTTGAATCTGTACAATGGGGTGAGCTCCCATTGCTCTGTCCCAGCTCCTGCCAACCTTGCAGTTCGAAAGCATGCAAATGCAAGTAGAGAAAAAGGTACCACTTTGGTGGGAAGGTGACAGCGTTTCGTGCACTTCGGTGTTTAGTCATGCTGGCCACATGACCACGGAGACTGTTTGCAGACAAACGTTGGCTCCCTCGGCTAGGAAACGGAGATGAGCACCGCCCCATAGAGTCAGGCATGACTGGACTTAATGTCAAGGGGAAACCTTTACTTTTTTATATCTGTAAAAAATAGAGTAACCACAGGGTGGCAGTGGAGAGTTGTTTGTTGGTATGATGGAGACCAAGGAACTGGAAAAGCAAAAGTAAAAAATCTCCGAAGATGGCAGAAATGAAAGTGAACTTTCTATCAATTAATCTACAATAGATTGTGATTTAATTCTTCACTCTTGGGAAGATTAAAGTATTAAAAGTTCCTCTTTTCCAAGTCTCACATTTCCCCGGTCTCACTTAATCTCTCCTAGTTTTGTCGCTGCTTGAACTCCGCAAGGGAGGAACTTCCTCCCTCCATCAAGAGGGCTTTTCTTTCTTTCCTTTATTCAAATTAATACGTGCATCAAAAGTTCTTCATGGGAACTATTTTAAAAAGCTGAAATGCTCACTCAGCAGGTCCGATGTGTTTTGAGCTTTTATTCCTTGCTGTTAATTCAGCATAGATGGCTTGTGAGGAGAAGATGCACCCCCCTCTGTCCTGTTTGACTGAGAAAATCCCAAGTTTCTCCCGGCAGATGGGGAGCCGCCACTTCCCACCAGCCAGAAGTGAGCTCGGGCTTCTAATCCCTGCCCCAACAGGGCTTGGATGGGCCTCTCTTGGCCCGCTGTCAAATGGATGCAGTGTGGAGAACCGAGCCCCGTTCTTCACAGCCATCTCGCCACGACATCAGCCGCATAATCACGACTCTTTCAAAGCAATTCATTATTGCAAATTTGTTGTCAGATGAATTGCTGCAGTAATGCAGTGACTGGCATTTTGCCATTGCATACCCCTCTTTAAATTGCTTGAAGGTAAATCATTTCTAAATTGGGTTTCAATGTTGTTGTTTTTTCCCCCCTTTTCTTTTTAAGTAGATGAGATTTTTAGAACTAGAGTATTTTAGGCAAGTGAACTCCAGGGACAGAGAACTAACAATTCTCCAATAACAACAACAACAACAACGATGTTAATTGCTTTCTGTATTTGAGGAAATGTCCAAAAATAATAACTCTCTGATGGAGTTGAGAAATAGGGCCACAAGCTGTATATGGCAGTAAGCATAGTGTACTCGTCAAGTATCCAAAGAGTGCTCAGTGTGAGCCATGGAAAGCTGCATTAGTATGCCTCTTGCGGGTTCCTCCTTCTCTGCCTGCCCCCAACTATGTTCAGTCCTGCAAAATGTGCTGTGATGTCTTGGCAATGCACGTTTGCTCACCCACCACAAGTTTTAGGCAACCAAGTGGATCAAGGAAGCGTGCGGTGTGGTGACACTTTGAAATCCTTCGAGGAAGGGCAAGGCACAAATCACAGAAATAAGCAATAGCTTCTCAGCAGCCAAATGGCTTTCTGTATCTTGCATCTTATCCCAGCCCAGCCCACCATCAGTCCTCCGCAGAAATACCCCCCACAGCAGGACGGAGGCCAGGCTCCACCAGTACGGCGGGCACCGCCAACCACATCTGGGGCAGTTTTCTCTGCATGGCTGCTGACCTTCTTGTGCAGCCTGTTTTAAGTGCTTTTTCTCATCATCTATTTCTTGATAAAGGTCTAGAGAAAGGCTTAACAAAGGCTTTAAAGAAGTTGGATGACTATCTGAGAACTCCTTTGCTGGAAGAAATAGACGCAAGCTGCACGGAGGAGGAGAAGGTTTCAAAGCGCAAGTTTCTGGATGGGGATGAGCTGACCCTGGCTGACTGCAACCTTCTGCCCAAGCTTCATGTCGTCAAGGTGAGGAGTGTTTCATGGGAGGCCACCAGACCTGACAGTGAAATGCAGTGGACACCTAGCTGCATGCTTTCCTTTCGCTGAACAGTGAGGACAAGAACAGCAGTTATGATGTATACAGTGCGATCCTGTGTATGCCTGTTGGGAAGCAAGTCCCATGGAGGTCAAAGGGGCCCATTCCCAATCTGGAGCACAATGTGTGCAGGCTTGGTGAGATTTTCTGTGGATGACAGACAGCACTGGAGGCACATGGTGACTATATTTACAAAGGTGTCTGTGGAGCACCCTGGGAGCAGGCGGACTGCTAGAGCAGGCAGCACAACTACTGATCCCACCCCCATGGGAACGCCCAAGGGCCCTCCCCTTCCCAGCCTCCCTTGGAATTGGTTTCTGAGGAAGGCCTGAGATTCTGAGTGTAGAGTCTGGGTTGACAGCAATTGGAAGAGGTGAGCCATTAAATACTGTGGCCCCAAGCCATGTAGAGCCTTATAGGTTAAGACCAGCACCTTGAATTAGGTTCAGAAGCATATAAGCAGCTAATGAATGTTGGCCAGAACCGGTGTTACATGTTTGGACCTTCTGCTGCTGGTGTCCAGTACCATTCTGTACCAGCTGCAGCTTCAGAACAGTCTTCAAGAGCAGTGCCATATAGAAGACATTCAGCAATCTAGCTTTGAGATTACCAGATCAGAGACTATTGAAACCAGGTGATTCCTCTCCAGTCTGAGTGTAGCTCAGGCACAAGCTGAAGTTGGTGGCAAGATACTCCATGCCACTGAGGCCACCTGGACCTCAAGAGATAAAGGTGGTTGAAAGAGCATCCCTAGGTAGGGATGTGTGATGAAATAGGTTTGAAGTAGGGATGTGTCAGATTTCCTCAACTCTCCTCCCAGGAGTCCTGCCCGCTTTCTCTTTGTTCTAAGTCCACTTTGCACTGGGTGCTTCTGGGGAGCAGGAAGTGAGTTCATATGGAGGTTTGCTTTTGCATGTGTGACTTGAGGGCTTTGCCTACTTTGCACAAAAATGACATAGCTTGCGTATTTTGCACAAAGAATTATGTGCTTGGCATATTTTGTGCAAAGAATCACCTACTTTGCATAAAGAAGCCACTCGTGTTCCTGAGCAGTTATAGACCTGCTCTCAGATTGGCTCACTTCCTGCAGAGGGCCGAGTGCAACAGAGCCTGATTCTGGCCTGATCTTCACATCCCCATCCCTCGGCTGTAGACCCACTTCTTCAAAGGGAGTGCAGCCCTATCCAGAACAGGTTGAGCACCCTCTATCCAGTCAGAGGAATAGCACCTTAGGTTTTTTTCTGGATTATACTTCAATTTGTGAGCCCTCATCCAATCCACAGTTGCAGCCAGGCACCAGTTAGCACATCCACAGCTGCACTTGCAGAAGATAAAAAGGAGAAATAGAACTGTAGGTTATCAGCATACTGATGACTCTGTAAAGGTCAGCAATTTTATATAGATGTTGAATAGCATAGGGGATAAGAATGACTCTCAGGGAACCCCATATGAGAGAATCCATAGAGCTGAGCAAAATTCCGAAGCACCACCTTGGAACGGACCCTCGAAGTAGGAGTGGAACCACTGCAATGCAGTCCCCCCACCCCTGCTCCCAACTCAGCCAGCCATCCCAAAATGATGCCATGATCAATGGTATTGAAAGCCACTAAGAGATGCAGGATTGTCAGTGGGGTGTCAAACCCTGGCCTGAACCCCAACTGAAATGCATTGAGATAGTGCATCTCCTCCAGGAGCAGCTGGGGCCAGTTGGCCACCTCCCCCTCAAGGAACTTGTCCAGGATGCGAACACTCACAAGCAGCTTACATTTATTTGGGTCTCCCAGATCCAGAGAGGGATGCTTCAGGAGTGGTCACATCCCCAGCTCTTGAAGGCAGCACGGGAGCAAGTCCTCTTGTACGGAGGCATTGATCACCTCTGTTGCCCAGTCACTTTTCGCTCCCTTGCTTGTGTTTATCAGCCAAGAGGGGCATCTGGTAAATATTCTCATGTTTGAACCAACTGAATCACATCCAGGAAAGCTGGACCAGGCTGTCAAGTTAGCAAGCAAGCAACTTAACAAAGAATATTCAGGATAGCATTCACCTTGAAATCAGGATAATCTGTATGAACCTTACATGCTTTTAGGTACTTAGGACCTGCCAGATGTCGTGCCTGCAAATCTAAATGTTCAGTCTTCCTTAACTAATCAACATAGGGCATAATCCAATGGAAAAAGCCTCCTATACAAGTCCTGTTGAATTAAAATGAATGGAAACCAGGCCAAAGCCACAGCTTTTCACCCAATTTGCATGTAGAAGGCTGCAGCTTCCCCCAGGAACCTCCCATTATAAGAATCTTATAACTGATTAGATGAAAGAACATTCCCTTTCTGCAACCCTAGGCAGGTGCCATCATCTTAGGTAGATAGTTCACTGAAGTGCCTCCCATCCCACTTAAAAAAGAAGAAGTTGAGACGCATTATTTACCTTCAACGGAATGTTTCAGTTTGTTGGGATTCAGACCTTACCTTTGCTTTTTAGGTAGGTATGGGAGAGGACAAGCAGTCTATCATACCAGCCATTTTATGGTAGTGTTCAGGATAGTTTCTCAAATTGCCAGATGTGCCCAAGGCCCAAAAAGATTGCTTACCCTTGCACTAGGTCATATTGGCAGTAATTATGGCTATTCTTCTTCCCTTCATTACCGCTGCTAGTGCAGTGCATCTGTATCCTGTCTTTCTTCACTTTGCAAGGAACTAAAGATGGCTTACAAGATTCACTTCCCTTCAATTTTTACCCTCACAAGAGCAGCCCTTTGAAATGGGTTGGGCCGAGAGTCTGTAAATGCACCCAGCAAGCTCCATGACCAAGTGGGGAGTAGAATCCGGATCTCCTGGGGACCCACTACAGCCCAGGCCATGCTGTCTGGGTGGTACTATGAGCAGTTCATCTTTCCATTTTGCCTGCTCCTTCCCATGTTTTGTCACAAAATGAGTGCTTGTATGCACTCCTTCACAAGCTATCATATATCCATAGTAACGTTAGCCATCTTAGAAACTGGCAGCCAGCCAAGCCCTGCAACAGAAAGGGCACATCCACTCAGGTAAAATGTATACATGGCCTAAAGCACAGGAAACCCCTTTTCTGGAACTTTCAGCAGCTCCAGCTTGGCCCCTTTCCCCCGTGGGACTAAGCAAAGCAGACTGTGACCTGTGCTGCCGACTCTCCTGAAATTGGATCTTGCCCTGAAGAGGGCAATGCAGGCCAATCAAAGAACATTCTGGAAGGGCCCCAGCCCGATTTCCAGGGCTGTCCAAAACCCTCTTTTAAGGTCCCCTTTCCATCTGGGACCCTCTTCTGTACTGCACAAGCATCTTGGGAGATGGCAGAATGTATCAAATGAGCTCCAGGCCAGCTCAGGGATGCCCTCGCTGGGATGATAGTGTCAGCACAGCATGAGGTCCAGATGTTGTTGGAGCCAGCTCCAACCTCCCCTGTACACCCACTACATGCCTTGTATGTTTTGATTCCCTTTTGTTCATTTATAGCAAAGCCTATGAAGCAATGTGTTCATAAAGTATTAAAATCAGATCTTCGGGGTCTTTGTTCTAGATTGTGACAAAGAAATATCGAAACTATGAGTTCCCAGCAGAGATGACAGGACTTTGGCGATACCTGAAAAATGCTTATGTTCGGGATGAATTCATCAACACCTGTGCTGCTGACAAAGAAATTGAATTAGCATATGCAGATGTGGCCAAACGGCTTAGCAAATCCTAATCAAAACTGCAAGACCTCTCCGGATAATTTCAATTTCTTAAATGCCTCTCTGCAATGCTTTTATATGGACAGATGTACTCTAGCATTGTTTTCTGGGTGGCATATTTGGGTAGTATCTCGTGAATCCCTCCCTCTAAAGGTCATGGGGAAACTGGTGTTTCCCTTCTCCCCCGTAGCCCTGTGTGGCATGCCCTCAAAATCCACTCTGAATAGCTGAGGGACCTGCCAGAGCATATTTTGAGAAGTTCAGGGAAAAAGAAATGCCTACCACAGAGGCTGCTACCTGTTTGCATGACTTAAGATTTTCTCCCTGTATTATGTTCCCTGGACTGCTAGAAATACACAGGTTTTTCTTAGACAAAAATTGAAGTTTGCAATGTACATAAGAAATATACCACTGAGTTGGAGCAAATATTATACATAATAACGTTTGAAACCATGTGCTTTGTTTTACAGCCACCTGCTAACACCACATTCTTTTCCTAGAATTTACAACTTTAAGTAGAATAGACATGTGAAGTGTACTTGAGGGTTTGAAAAACCCTTTGTAGAGATTTGATATGATCTGGGATGGGTAGAAAAATAAGATGGTTATAAGAAAATGGGCACCATCCTAAGGGGGAGGGCATCTTTAGGAGAGGATGGGCAAGGGCAATGTGTTTTTGGATTCCAACTTGCATCAGCTCCATTCAGCATGGCCAATGGCGAAGGATGATGGTATTTGCAATCCCATAACATGTGGAAGCTACGAGTTGCCTCTGCCTGCAAGCCTTGAGAGACAGATTTAGAATCATCTTTGGATCTCATTGGATTAGGAGATAATTATAATAAGAATCTGATGCTGCTGGGACTGCCTAGGGGAATGATAGAACTACAGGTGCTATTCAGCACAAAACCCCACAGTAAGGAAATAGTAAGTGAAATAATTGTGTGCTCATTTATTCATGATTCAGAGATGTTTGGAATATAAATATGAATGCTGATATAAAACAAGCCTAGATAAATTTGAAATGACAAGAAGATTCTCAGACAATATATTGATGAAATTCTGGTAAATACTGGTACTCAATGGTTAACTAACCTATACTGTGGGACCTTGGCTCATGAACTTAATCCATTCCAGGACTCTGGTCGTGACCCAAAATGGTCATGAGCCAAGTTAAATTTCCCCATAAGGTTCAATGTGAATAAGCTTAATCCGTTCTGTAACTATTTTTTTAATCAGAAAAATGTGAAGCAAAGTGACAAAGAACAACAAAGATCGTGGCCATCTCTCCACCCCCCAATCTGAGCATGGCCACCTCCCCGCCCCCCAGCACAACCACAATCATGTCCATCATCCCTGCACACGCCCATCATCCTGGTGTGCTGGGGGTGGGAGAGACAGCATGATCGTGGTGCGCTGGGGGAGGGAGAGATGGGCACGAATGGGGTGCACTGGCGGAGGGAGAGACAGGTGCGATCATGCTGCGGGGGGAGGGGGAGATGGCCAAGATCACGGTTGCACTCCTGCAGGAAAGACGGGCGCAATCTTGGCCATCTCCCCCCCACCCCCGCAGCACGATCACGCCCATCTCCCCACTTGGGGGGGGGGAGATAGCCACGATCATGGTCGCCACCCAATGTGGAGTTCGTGACCTGAGTTAACATTTTTATGAAATTTTTGTTCGCGACTCGATTTGGTTGTGAACCAAAGTGTTCATGAGCCGAGGTACCACTGTATTTGCCAACATACTTTTCAGCATGTAAATAAAGAAAATGGGCTTGCAACTGAAATGAGATGACTCCTATAAGTTCTATAATATGGAATTAATTCATTATCTAAGTTATCCTTTGTCCAAAAGTCCTGGAAAGTGTAGCATTCCCAAACATGTCTGAGCTTGCCAGCTGCACATTTGATAGCTATATAAGAACTGCCCCAGAGCTGGTGGCTTGCCTAGGTCTTTCATGCTCATAGAGGTCTAATTTTTGGAAACCAGTAATTTTGTGCTACATTTATCCAACATTTGCATGAAAACTTCTGCTTGAAGCCACTGACCTGGGTGCTTTTGCTTCTCAATTGTTTAAAGTACTGTTTTCTTTGTAAAATGTAGGGGTTATCCTTGGCACTTTGAAAGAGTGAGTATGAGCAGGTTGGGACAGGACAGTGTACTCTTGGACTGCTTTGTCTTCAGTGCAGCACATCTGTTACTAAAAAGAAAAAAGAAAGATGCATTTCTCAAGGGCAGACAAATGTTATATTTGAGATGAGAGTGATATGTGTGGCTACTTCACAACAGTGTGGTGTCATGGATCAAAGCATATATGCTTAAGTCCCCAGTCAGTTGGCAAGCTCAGTGGGCAGTGTCAGGGAGGTTGCTTTTCTAAACAAGACATCCTATAGGTCAGCATTCCTTATACATGGTTGTTTAGGCAACAGCATGACCTTCCAGTTTTGCTTTTGTGTCTAACCAGCACTTTTCTGTGACTCTCTCTCTCTCACTCATTTTCATTTCATTTCATTTCTTGGAGAGCAGAGAAAAATGCAGCATTTAATTATTATAGCAAAAGAAAGCAGGATTTTCCCATTGTGTATTTACAGTATTTTGCCATGCCACAGTATCATCTAGAGATTATATAGTGGAACAGCAGAAAAGAAACTAATTGCAAAACACTTGGATCTTAATTCTTCAATGAAACCATAAATAGATACAGCTGATTAACAACCTTGTGCAGAAAAGCTCGCTCACCCTTTCTAATCTAAGTCATAGTATTACAAAAATCGAATGTAATAAAAATATCCCCTTGCATTGATGATTCTGACATATGTCCCATTGACTGCATTGAGTTCTGTAATTCACAGAAACCTAAAATGAAACAAAAATAGCAAACTTAGAGGCCATAAAGCTATGTTTCCTGTATACCTGGCATTTTATGTGCACTGCACCTGCATGTAAATCCATGAACTCAATTTTCCCTCCAAATGGACAAGTTACACCCAGGAGGATAAAGGCCAAAATAGTGCTGAGACATAAGCTGTCTTGGAAAATGCACAGAGCTTCCAAATTCAATGAAATCATAAAAATCCACTGAGGTACATGAGTCTTCTAGAAATGAAATGAAAGGAAATAATAAAATGGCCAAATTGAAAATATTTCTATTTTTTAAAATTAATGGATTAGTTGATATCTTTAAAAGAATCAGGCATTACTCTTTATTCAGCATGTTTTATAAATCTTATAAAACTGTTATGAGCATGGCCTATGTTACAAAAAGCAGAGGTTCCTCTACTCTTTTGTACTAGATTCAACTTTTGTAAGTCATCACCAACTAAGTTTAGAGCTGGTTCACTTAGGTCATGGGTCACTATTTGACTACAATATCAAGTGCTAATTTTTACATTGATCAGGCTGAAACAGATTTATAAGCACAACACAGAGTTTGTATTTCACCTGCTATCAATGAAAACACAACCATGTTAAATTCAAACAGTTCACAAATGTGGCTTTGAGTCGCCATGTGATAAGATTTAAAATGGGTGAGCCAGCCCATTTGATAGGAGTTTTGCTGGGAGCAGCAGGGTACAAATAGAGCCTGCTAGAGAGCCTTTTTTTTTTTTTTTTTTTTTGCTAAGCACTACAAGAACTGAGTAGATAGAGAGCCATAGGAGGTGAACCAGGCTAAGGTCTAGTATGTTTGATCCTGACTTTGCTCTGGCTGGCTCGGGCATATCCCTAGTTCCCTTTCCTCTATGAAGTCTGGAGGGAAAAGGGCAGATGGGCTGCCCTTACTTCTTGCCAGCAGGTTCTTCTGCTGCACCAAAACCTTCTATGAACGGAAGGGGCCCTTCCATTTCCAGAAGGTATACTTGGGATTCAAGTCATAATGTTTTATTTCCTTTAGCATTCTTTCCACTTTACTAGGACTGGAATCACCAACAACCTTGCTATTTGTCATAGCTCTGAATAATATGAAAAGATCCACTTTTCTGCTTCTAGATTGCAGCAGGGAATTAAATATTGGCCTAAGGCTAATATTGCTGGGGAACAACCTTTCTTTAAAATGCCTAATTCGGTACACCTAAAATGGCTTAGGTAACAATTGGAAAAGTGGGGAACTTTCTAGTATGTGTCTATTGACAGGTTCTGATGAGCTTTAATCAGAACTACAGTATCTTGTTGCATTCTTTGTTCCCATTTGAAATGTGAAGTAGTATGTGTGAATGTGTTTATCTACATTGGCAAAGCAAGTTTTCTGAAAAGAATCTAAGTGACAGACAGTATGGATTAACAATAACTTTGTTCATACATTTTACATAAGATGTAAAGAAGCAGATCAGAGGGGAAAGTAGCCAACAATATGGATTTAATCACTGATGTTTCAGAAAATGCAGACCAAATGTCTGTAAAAATGTCAATTGTAGCCAAACATTTCTCAGATATTTGTTTCAAAGACGCTACTACTTCACACAGTACTTCATTCCTATCTGGCATCCACATTGATCTCTGTTTTAATATTACTTTAAAAGACAACTTTTTCTGATGAAGTATTTGAATTGTTTTACCTAAGCAGTGCCATTTCAGAGATTTTTCAACAGGAACAAGGGCAAACACCTTTCTCAAAGATTTCCACAGATCATGTTAGTCTTCTGGTATCTTAAAACCTGAAAGGTTTATTATGGCCTAAGTTTTTGTTTAGTGAAATCCGCTTCATGAGACACATCTGATGAAGTGAATTGTAGTTCATGAAAGCTTGTAGTATAATAAATCAGTTAAGTCTGTAAGGCACCACAAGATTCTTCCTTCTTTTCAGGCTATTGGCAATGCACTCCCAAGATTGAATAGGTACTTGACATGGCATTTTTCTTTCACATAGACATACATGCACCAATATAAGTGGGCATCCTAAACAACCCAAGAACTGATTCATACATTAAATTAAATTAATTAAATTAAAGCAGAGAAAGGAAAAAAAGGGCCCAGTGCATCTTCTGCCATTGCAGTTGTAGCATACAGGAGGACGGGCAACGAGGACCTCTGCTTCCAAAGTTGTTTGCTGTTATCAGTTTGTGAGATCCACACATTACCCACTTCCTCCCTTATAATAGATGCATGGTCAGATATTCTCACTTTTGATACTCGTTCATTGGTTTGATTTCAGAAGTGTTTTTTAAATAAGTGAGCTTTGTGCATGGAAAAAAAATACAGTGGTACCTTGGCTCATGAACTTAATCCATTCCAGGACTCTGGTCGTGACCCAAATTGGTCCTGAGCCAAGTCAAACTTCCCCATAAGGTTCAAAGTACATAAGGTTAATCTGTTCTGCAACTATTTTTTTTACTCATTTTTTTTTACCCCTGGGGTGGGGAGAGGTGGGTGCGGGAGCGCTCAGGCAGGGAACACGGGTGCAATCATGCCCATCTCTCCCCCCAGCACGAACGCGGCCATCTCCCCCCCCCCCCCGCCCCAGCATGGCCATGATTGCGCCACGCAGGGAAGGCGGGCACGCTCGTGTTCGTCACCTGATGCAGAGTTCGCGACCTGCAGCAAAATTTTTATGAAATTTCTGTTCACGACCCAATTTGGTTGTGAACTGAGACGTTCGTGAGCCGAGGTACCAGTGTACAAGTCTGAATCCAAAGAAGGAGCACATGTACAAGAGAGAGAGGATATATGAAGCTCTGTTAGCCTTTTGCTGCTGCCGCCGCCGCCATCAGATTGTCTCTGACCACCCTGTGAAGGCCCTCCAGAATGTCCAGCCTATGCCATCCCTTCTGCCTGCTGATGCTGCAGCTGTTCCCTTCGCCAAGTCCACCCCCCCACCCATCCCCTTTAAATAGGGCAGCGGCTTTGACTCACAAGGGGAGCAGCCGGAGTGAGACATTGCAAGGGCCGCTGCATGCACAGCCCCCACGTCTGTTCTCAAACATATTGTAGATTCATTTTGATGTCAAAGACTAATATCAAGCGCATCATAAAACTATGTTAGATTTTAAGAAAGGTGTACCCAGGTCCAGCTGACCACTAACTGGAATTTGT